CCTCAACTCACATCTCATTTTCCTTCTGTGTGAAATGAGGGTAATGTTGACTTGAGCGGTGTGGTGCCCCTGTGAGGGCTCTGTCAGCTTCAAGACTTTCACAGTGTGGGGGCTGGAGGGCTTCAGTAAACGCTCCTTTCTTTTCTCGGTTACACGTGGTGTCACGATGCCAAAGCCATGATTATAGTTTGCATCATGTTTAAAGAGAAGGCAGAAAGAAACGGATTTGCCTCTGAGCGGTAGTGGTAACCCCTAAACGGATGCCCATTGACCTCAGGTAGGTGCTGTGAGAGCCACAGAGAGTGACCAAACACATGCTCCTTGACCCTAGGAACAGTTCTATGATATCATGAAACACATGTTTGTCTTTGTCCAGTGTCCTATCATACAGTTCCTTAAACCCCTGGACTCTAGGAATAATAAATTAGTATGCAAGACACTATTGGCTTGATTAAGGCTCATTCCACAAATGGAATGCGTGCCTGGTGCTGTTAACTGGGCCCAGAACCTGTGGCTGAGTAGGTAATAGGACCCAGGGGAAAACTTACTATTTTACTATCCTGTTAAACGAACATAGTATTAAACTGCCCCTAAATATGAATAGATTTATACCATAGATTAGGACAGCTTCTCATCAGAGAAGCTTCTTTTTGCAGTGGATGGTGATTGACACAGAGCTATACAACCGGTCAGTGGGCAGAGAATAAGAGATTGTAGCTCAGGTGTGGAGGTGTGCATTTTTAATCCCAGCACTCCAGGGGTAGAAGCAGGCAGATCTCCATGTGTTCATGGCTAACCTGGTCTACATAGTGTTATCTCCAGGCCAACCAAGACTGCATAGGGAGACTTTGTCTCAAAAACAGCAGTAGCAGCAGCAGCAGCAGCAGCAGCAGCAGCAGCAGCAACAACAACAACAACAAGAAGACTGGACAGACAGACAGGTAACAGAGATTGAAGAGTGCTTGGCCCTAAGGCTCAGGGATCATCAAGGAGTAGGGTGGGAAGACCGAAAGAGCCAGACATAGGGGACAACTGCTGTGAAACAGCATTTTCTGGACATCACAGACCTATGCACATACTGGTAGTACTCTGTGGGTTTAAAAAAAGAAACAGAAATTTGGGAGGGAAAGTAGTGGTGGGGATATGGGAGGACTTGGAGGGGAGGGGCTAGTGGTGGGTTTGATCAAAAACATATTATATGCATATGTAAAGTAAAAAAAAAAAACCTATTAGCTCAGTCAGGGGATGTCCCTAGACAGCTTTAGGATAGGGTCACTCGTAAGACTCAGACATGATCAGAAGGCTGAGACTTCCAGCTTCATCTTCAACTTTCAGGGAAGGGACAAAGGCTAGAGATTTACTTGACTATCAACGGCCTACACTGTAATCAATCATGCCTAGGTAAGGAAGCCTCCACAGCCTCCCAAAAGGACAGAAGGGAGGGGAAGGAGAATCCTGGTAGCTGAACATGTTGTCATCATGCCTGGAGGGTGGCACGACCAGATGCTGTGTGACTCCCTGGGGAGATGTGAACATCTATTCACAAATGGCAGGCCATAGGAATGATTCCACCTATTTCTACCATCACAAAGCAATGGGTTTCTTAAGGTTACTTACAGGAGCATGGATGACTCAAAGCAAATGTGTCACCGAAAAGCCCGTCCAGTATGATGACTCATGAAGGCTCCATCCCTTGAGATCTGTGAATAACTTGCAGGCTGCTCTACCAGAGACTTCCCTCTCCCAAGTAGCTGCTTACTGTTTAGATAACCTTGGGGGAGGGGCTGCCTTTGTCTTGTGACTTTCTAACTTCTTAGTCTTTTGAAACTTCCTGAGTCCAGTAAGTTTAATTTATTTTCTGAGTTACATGAGCCTCCCTTCTCCCTTCAACAGAGAATGTTTCAACTGGAGGCAAAGAGTTACACAACACTAGAAAGGTGGGAAATTTTCTCCCATGCCTGGCCCTGGGCATCTTCCAGTCAGACTGTTTACTGCAGAGTTAGAATGTTCTTCATAATGAACCAGGGAGTGTAATTGAGGCTCTTTCCTGAGATCTAGGAACTGCTAAGGGCAAAGTATTCAAGCCGGAGGAGCAGTTGTGGGAATTCAACGGATAACCAGCACTTCCAAACACACAGGACACTGTCTCCTCTTGTGACTGGCATCTGGAAGCTGTGACTACAACCTCAAGTCGGCCGGTCTGACACTGTCTGTAGGGAGGCAGGGTCAGACTAGATCCGGGAGAGTCTATGCAGTGGGATCACTTGGCTCTTGTGAGAAATCTTCACTTCCACATCTGATGTGAGAAGTGTTGGCTTGACCATGTCTGTGAGGGGGTCTTTCTCTCTCAACACCTCTTTTAGACAGGGTCATATGGCCCAGGCTGCACATGCTGTGCTGTGTAGCCCAAGATAACCTTAAACTCCTGGTCTTCCTGCTTCCACCTCCTGAGTACTGGGAGAACCCACGTCAGCCACCATGCCAGCTTCTTAGAGCCATTAAAACTTCTTTTACACTTATTTATTTTATGCAAGTAAACACATGTTATGGTGCTCACGTAGAGGGAAGAGGACGTTTTGTGGGAATCTGTTCTCTCCTTCCACCACGTGGGTTCTAGGGATGGAATTCAGGTCATTAGATTTGGCAATGAGTACCTTTATCTGCTTGGCCATCTCAACCCCTACATTCTTTTATATTCAATTAAAAGACGTGATATGAATGAGTTCCTGCTCTGAAAGAGGCAGAAATCACCATAGGCAAAATGGGTCTGCAAGAAACAGAACTCAGCAGGGAATTTGTAAAAAAGCTATAAAATGGCCATGCTCAGTGTCCTTGGAGGAGAGAAGCTAACTGAAGACCCGAGGGCTACTTAATGGAACTACCAAGGCTGGGGCCTCAGGCCCAGGGCCCTCTTCGCTGTGGTTGAAGGCTTGTTAGTAATCATCTTTATCTCCTAAACCTCCCCAAGTGCCTTATCCTTAGGGGTGGCTGTCTTAGCCAGTGTTCTGTTGCTGTGAAGAGACATCATGACCACAGCAACTCTTATAAAAGAAAGCATTTAGTTGAGGTTTAGTCCACTGTCATTATGGCAGGAAGCACGGCATCAGGCAGGCAGACTGCATGATGCTGGAGAAGTAGCTGAGAGCTCTCTACATCTGGATCCGCAGGCAGCAGGAAGAGAGAGAGACACTGGGCCTGACTTGGGCTTCTGAAACCTCAAAGCCCACTCCCAGTGACGTACCCCCTCCAACGAGGCTATACCTCCTCCATCAAGGCCACACCTCCTAATCCTTCTCAAGGAGTCCCACTCTCTGATGACTAATCATTCCAATATATGAGCCTATGGGGCCATTCATTCTTCTTCAAACCACCACAGTAGCTGTCTTTGTGCAAGGGACTATGGGGCTTCTGATGAGGACCCAAGAGGGCCCAAGCTTAGATGTCTCCAGTCTTTCAGTTCCTTTGTGGACATTAGACGCCCTTCCTCCCTACTTCTTTCTAAAATGGAGACAGGGTCTTATCTACAGATTCATAGCTGAGGATGGCCTTGAACATCTGTCTGGTCCTCCTAGCCTCACCTCCTGAGTACTGGGATTACGAGTTTACAAAGTCCCACCACATTCAGGGTTTGTGTGATGCCTGTGATTTAACGCAGAACTTAGTACATACTAGCTAAATTGTCTCCCAACAACACCCCCCCACAATCTCCTCAGGTTTGTTTTTTTTTTTTTTTTTTTTCACTTTTTGAGATAGAATCTCACATTGTCTGGCCCAGCCCGGGCCTCAGACTCTCAGTAACTATGCCTGGCCTCAACTTTGCCGTAATCCTCTTGCCTTAGATTCTCCAGTATTAGGACTATGTGAGCTAACCACGCCCAGCTCAAGCCTTCTGTTTTGTTGGAGACAGGGTCCTGCTGTGTAGCATAGGCTAGGACGCTGGATCCTCCTGCCTCAGCCTCCTCCCAATTGCTGGGACAAGTGTGTGGTACCATACCTGGCTTGAATGTTGAGCTGTATAAGCAGGGCCCTCCCTGGAATCTTGGTTCTGGGAAATCTAGGGTCACTAGGGGAACCAAACAGAGGCAAAAGCAAGACTCCTTTCAAAATGCTTCTCCCAAAGGGAGGTGGCCCAGGGTGTTCTCAAGCGTGGACAGAGACAGACTCGCATTCATTCAACAGTATTACCTCAGCGGTGTGATCTTGTGCTTTTTCTGAACTTCAGTTTTCTGCTATTTATGTTGTTGTTGTTGTGTGTTTGCTTGCTTTGCTTTGTGGAGATGGAGTCCCACTAAGTCGCCTGGGCTGTCCTGTCACGCGTGATTCTCCTAGGGTTTCAGCCTCCCCAGTGCTGGGGTTACTGGCGTTCCCTACCACGTGGAGATTGACACAGACTCTCCATCCTGTCAGACGTGACAATCCTCCTGACTTTTCCTGTCCCCTCCTACCAGACAAAGAGTAGACTCCAATTCGAGGACTGTTGGGGAAACGTCTTGGACCAACTGTCCAGTCCTCCCCAGCCCATCCTCTACGGAGGTCCCATCCTGCCCATTCCACATCAGATTTATATTCAGTTCCCAGCTGGTTGGCTCGTTCCCTCTTACTCTTCCACCAGGAATGTGCATTGTTCAGCCACTGCTCTGACTCCTACCGCACAGTGAAAACTAAAGAAACGTTAAGAGGGGCGAAGGATCAGCCCACCCTTTCTTTCTTCTTAGAGGAAAGGCTAGGGATCGAGGGATCACATCCTAATATAGAAAGCAGGCCGTCTAGGGCACTGAGAACGCTGTCACCAAATCGGAGAGCTTCTCCCCCCGTCACCCCTATATAGTTCTTCCCAGTGCCTCGGGGAGGGACCCCGCAATCCAAGGGGCCAACTCTGGGGTTCCCGCGCTGGAGAGGGCAAAAACGGTCTAGGTCAGCAACTGGGAACCACTTGCAGGCAGCGGGCCGGAGCTGGGTGGGGCCGGGCGGACCGCAAGGCTCAGGAGGCGTGGAGCCCAGGCGGAAGGGGCGGGCCGGGCACGAGAAGGGCTGGGCCGAGGTGTCGCGGGGCTGCTGGAGGGTCGTGGGTGGCACGGAGGAGACATGTCGGGGGGCAGCAGCTGCAGCCAGACGCCCAGCCGGGCCATCCCCACTCGCCGCGTAGCCCTCGGCGACGGCGTGCAGCTCCCGCCCGGGGACTACAGCACCACCCCGGGCGGCACGCTCTTCAGCACCACCCCGGGAGGTAAGGCGGCGGGGCCGGGGTCCCAGGCGACCTCCGGGGCAGGAGGGCACGCGGGCATCCGGGATCGATCGCACGTGCGACGGGGGTGGCGGCGCTCCCAGGGTTCCGTAGCTGGATAGAACGGACGAGGGGCTTCGGGAAGGCTCAGGAGGGTCACCACCGTCCGGGTTGCCCGCCTTCTGGGTGTAGCGGAGCGTGGTCTGGAGACGGGGGCTGCACACTGCCCGCTTTAGCTTTTTGCTAGGAGAGACAGCAGAGTGCCCGAGTACACAGATAGGCACTCTGCCAGGATCACCATGTGCTCAAGTGCGGCCTCTGTGGGTGTCAGGGCAGTCCTAGGGTGGGACTGGATTGGGGGTCTGGGTGGCCCTCGGAGCAGGGTAAGGGCCTGGCCTGGAGATTAAGTTTAGTTGATCTCCCTGGTAATAAATGACGCCTGCACACTTTTTTTTTTAAACCTTCCCGGGCAACCCTCGTTTTGCGTTGGACATTTGCTCATTAATGGAAGTTGGGCGTTGAGGGTGCTCCCTGCCCCAGAATCCCGTCTGGGCTACCTGTGGCATGCAGCCGATTTACAGAGTGAGGTCTCTAGGCAGGGGCCTGGCGCCGCGTCTGTCCGGGGTTGTGCAGAACAACACGTTCCTCGGGTCTAGGGGGCAGGGCACAGCGCTGAGTTCGCCCAAGTGGAGGAGGAAGAGGAAGCTGAGTTGGCGCGGGAGGGGGCCGGCCTCCGGGAACCGGGCATTCCCAGCTTGCCCCGGAGCCCTAGTAGAGGCGCTGATGAAACCTACAGGCCCGTTTGCATGATGAAATCCTCGTGGCTCACTACTTCCCTCCCATCCCTCAGCTGCTCCCACCCACTTTGCGCGTCTTCCCTCCCCGGTCTCCTCCCCCAAGCTTCTCCTCTTACAACTCACAAAAACAGGAGAGTTTCTGGCGCTACGCTGAACCTTGGGCTACTGCCGGCGCGGCCAGGCCAGGCCACGTGCCTATTTTCTCGGGCAGCTGTCCCTACACCAGGGTGCCCAGCCAGATCCCAGAACCAAGGCACCCACGAAGGGATCTTGGAGATTTGTGCCTCTGGGGCTTCCGAACACAGCACCAAGGCCCCGCTCCTCGAGCATGTGTCTGTTAATGCATTGTCACGCTGTGCTCCCAGACGCTGCAAGAAATAGCAACCAGGTAGAGTTGGGGGAAGGCGTTTTCCCTTTCATTAGAAATGGCCCAAGGACGGTGGTGGCACACGCCTTTAATCCCAGCACTCGGGAGGCAGAGCCAGGCGGATCTCTGTGAGTTCGAGGCCAGCCTGGACTACCAAGTGAGTTCCAGGAGAGGCGCAAAGCTACACAGAGAAACCCTGTCTCGAAAAAACAAAAACAAAAAGAAAAAGAAATGGCCCAAGGAGAAGTTCTCTGCAGGCTTCTGGCCTCCCTTTCCCCGAGTTCTCCATCCCTTCTGCCCTCTTCTGGTTCATGCTCCTGCACCCTTTCTTTGTCTTTTTCCGCAGAACTTTGTGTTGAGCACAAACTTCGCAGACAGTTGAGTCCTTTTAGGTGAAGTGTGAATCTGTTTTTAATTTTTTTTTTTTTTTTTTTTTTTTTTGGTTTTTCGAGACAGGGTTTCTCTGTGTAGCTTTGCGCCTTTTCCTGGAACTCACTTGGTAGCCCAGGCTGGCCTCGAACTCACAGAGATCCACCTGGCTCTGCCTCCCGAGTGCTGGGATTAAAGGCGTGCGCCACCACCGCCCGGCTGTTTTTAATTTTTTTTTTTTTTTTTTTTTTGGTTTTTCGAGACAGGGTTTCTCTGTGTAGCTTTGCGCCTCTCCTGGAACTCACTTGGTAGCCCAGGCTGGCCTCGAACTCACAGAGATCCGCCTGGCTCTGCCTCCCGAGTGCTGGGATTAAAGGCTGTTTTTAATTTTTTAACTAGGCACGGAGGCAGGCCTCAAGGCTCAGGGAAACTTTTTTCTTGTCCCCCTGCCCTCCTTTTTCTGGATGGACAGGTTAGCTGAGTCCCAATAGCCAACAGTACTGTTTGTAAGGAAGATCCACTTCTCACTGTGGACTGGGAAGTGTCAAGGTTGGCAAACTGTGACGTCCCCAAAGCCAGCTGGCTCTTGTCAGGGTTCTTTTGCGGGGTGCACAAGTCCATAGCTTGAGGAAAGAGTTGCTCATTTCTGCCAAAGCCAACAAGCCTGTTCTTGAGCTGAGGAGCTGGATCTTCTTTCAAAGGCCACTCCTTCCAGGCTACCTCTGCTAGAGTGCGGAAGGTTGACCCATTGGCTCGAGTGCTTCTCGTTACTTAGGACCCCCCCCCCCCCCATTAAATACGGAGTTGGAGTTCAGAGGTCTACAGAGTGAGATCCAGGACAGCTAGGGCCACACAGAGATTCACCTGCCTTCCTAGTGCTGGGACTAATGGAGGGACTGGCCATCCAGTCTTTCTTACTGTCTCGGCTGTCGAAAACCTTTTGGATTATAATGGCTCTGACCTATTCTTCCTTGCGAATCCATCTAACGTTTGACTTTTCCTACATATATCAGGGGCTGGCTAGGAGATAATAAAGGTCAAGTTAATCGCCTTGAGATTTGCTCTGTCCTCCGGATGTGTAGGAGTATATAGCCGATAAGCTTGGAGCAGGACTGAGACATCTGCCTAACCGTTTTATGTATGATCGGGCCGCATTCCATTTTGAGGACTCAGGAATTCCAGGGGAAGGGGACCTGCGGCACCTGGGCACATGTTATTTGCCTTTTCAGATCTTCAGGAGTCTCTCGGGAAGTAGAGATTCCATCCGCGCATAAAGTCAGGCTTTCCTACCCACCTTGGCTTGTGACTGACTTGTCAGGGCAGTAAGTCCCTCCAGCTGAGGTGGCTTTGAAGCAGTTGTCTGGAGGCAAGGACACAGCAGGTGGCCCAGACCATCTCCCTTCCTGTGGGTCTCAGGTCGGTCGGTGGTCATTAACCCTCAGCTGGCTGACCCCACTGGTCTACCGTCAGGTCTTAGGTATCCAGAGAACCTAAGACATTTCTGAAGGGAGTGTCCAGCATTAATATTTGAACCTGCGAGTCTTGAAGATGGTCAGCAATCCCCTAGACAGAATCTTCTAGTGAGTGCCCAGGATGGATGTTTGACCTCTAACCTACAGAAGTTGTTGGGGTGCTCATACCGGTTAGTACCTGGGCGAGGTTAGTCAGGCAAGCAGGTAGGGTGGCAGATGGTCATGACATTGTTTTGTTAAGCCAACAGTAGTGCTGTGTGTGCATATAGTGGTGCACACCTTTAATCCCAGCACTGGAGGGGGGCGGGCAGAGGCAAGTGGATCTCTGTGAGTTGGAAGCCAGCCTGGTCTACATAGTGAGTTCCAGGTCAGTCAGAGCCACACAGTGAGACCCTGTCTTAAAAAAAAAAAGTCTGTCTAGGAAGCTTGACCTTAAAGTGGCTGCCAAGTGTTTTAGCCCTGGTAGTGATGGGAAGAGGGGGAGGTGGCTTGGCACTGAGTCTTGATGCCCTCGTGTCTTGATGCCCTGAGGTCTCAGTCACATAGAGGGGAGACGTCACCGTTGAGGGTTAAGGGCAGAATGAGAGGGGATATCCAGGCAGTAAAGGAGATAGAAAAGTGGTCCTCAGCGCACACTCGTCAGGGCTTCCTTTTAAAGTGTTTGAAACGTTATACATTAGGTTCCAGAACATACTGCTGAATTTGGAGGAGGCCGGGGTAGAGCACTCCAAACTCCCCTCGGATCCTCTCGGGTTTTAAGACGCTCAAGAGGCTCGCACTCCATCCAGACTCGGAAGATGGTCTGACTTGGAGGGCTGGCATGGCTCGCTAGACAGGTGAAGATTTAGCTGAAATAGAATACAAACGTGGGCCTGAAGAGAAGATGGCTCAGGGGTTAAAAAGTGCTTGCTGCTCTTGGAACGGACTGCCCTTCGGCACCTACAGGGTACTCCAGGACCCCTGACCACCATGATTCTAGCTGGAGGCATGCCCTCTTCTGGCTTCCACAGGAACCTTCCCCCAAATAAAAACAAAAGCTTGGCGGCTTGGAGGTAAACTCAGGGACAGCGTCACTGCTAGCTGTGAGTGAGGCCTTAAGTTCTGTACGTAACATCCCAAAGAATGGAGGGGGAGGGTAGGAGGGACGCAGCGGGGTGAGTATCCAGTGTGAGACGGAATGGATATGTTGGGAGTTAGGGGAGATAGATGTTTGGCACAGACTCTCAGTTGTGAGAGCGACAAGTTCCAGGGATGTGGTCATCAGTGGCTATGATTAACCCTGCAGTGTTTACTAGAAATTAGCTAAGAGCAACCTTTACACAAACACACACATCCGTGACATATGCTAATTTATTTGTGGGAGTTATCGCATGTTTCCTCGAGTGATACCAGATCCTTTCGTATGCTTTTGACTAGGTACTTCTCCCTGTCTCCCTCCCCTCCCCTCCCCCATCTCTTCCACTCCCCCCCTCTTTCTTTCTCCCTCCTCTTAAGATAGGATCTTACTGTATTGCCCAGGCTGGCCTCAAACTGTTGATCCTCCTGCCTCAGTCTCTCGAGGGCTGAGATTATGTGCCATCCAGCTTGAATGTATGTAATTTTTATTTGCTGGTTGTCTTTAATAATTCAGTAAGGCTCGAGGGGGACATGTTTCTAAGAATCCAAGGCACATCTCTAGAATGAAGTGATGTGACAGATCTCCCACTCTCCAGCCCTAGAACTCATAGTAATTCTACCTTGTAGTTTTGTAGATTGACCCAAGGGCCACAGAACATGTTTGCTATCCAAAAGAGAACTCTTCTCCTTGATAAATAACAGTCTAATTAGGTGAGCTTCTAGATTTCAGTGGCCTTTGGAGGTTGCATTTTTTTTTTTTCAATATCCTCCCAAAGTGGCAGGTATTCATTATTTGAAAGATGAGTTTGTTTCTCCTCCATCGTAACAGCAAAAGTCATTACCGATTTTGGTGACGGGAGGCAGGTATGGGTGGTGATGTTT